TCAATCCCAGCTTGGGAATTAAGTGATCATGTTGCAGTCTTCCTAAGCTCTTGGTGAGAAGATCAGCCTGCTGCTCTTTTGTAGGAATGTGATGAGTTTTAACAACACCTTATATGATTTTCTGTCATACGAAATGTGAATCAACGTCTATGTGTTTGGTCCTCTAGCGAAAGATTGGATTAGCTGCAATTTGGATTGCAGCTTTGCTATTACAAAAAAGATCAACATGCAGATTCACATCAACCCCTAACTCTTTGAAAAGTCCCGTGAGCCAAGTTATCTCAGTAACTGTAGAAGCCATACTTCTGAATTCAACTTCAGCAGAACTCCTTGCAACTGTGTCTTGTTTCTTAGATTTCCACGAGATCAAGGCATTACCAAACTTAACTAGGTAGCATGTTACTGATTTCCTGGTCTGTAAGCACCCTCCCCAGTCTGAGTCACAATAGGCTTCAATCTTATTTAATCCTTCTGAAGGATCAGTAGACCAAGACCTGGAGAAGTTTTGACATATTTCACAACCCTCAAGGCAGTTTCCCAGTGAGACTGCTTAGGCTTGTGCATAAATTGACTTAGTACTTGTACTACAAATGTTATATCTACTATGGTCATTATAAGGTATAATAGCCTCCCTACCAATCTTTGATATGCACCTATATCATCAAACAACCCGTCTTCACACTTAGGTGATCCTACAACAGTATCATACTCAACAGGGTTAAGCTTCAAGTTTGTCTCTAGAGGTGTTCCAAGAGGTTTAGCACCTGCAAGTCCCATTTCAGATATCAACTCCAGAGCATATTTTCTTTGACTCATTACAATTCCACTTCTGGATCTTGCAAATTCTATTCCCAGAAAGAATTTAAGTTCTCCTAGATCTTTTATTTTGAACCTAAGTTTCAGATCATTTGTAGTCTGAGTAATCAGATCTAGGCTTCTCCCACTGATTATCAATTCATCTACATAGACTATGACAACAAGCTCAACATTGACCTTCTTTGTAAATAGGGAGTAGTCAAAATGATATTGGGTGAAGCCCAACTGAACCAGGGCATCAGTCAACTTCATGTTCCATTGCCTGGGTGCCTGCTTCAGGCCATACAGTGATTTGTGGAGTTTCCAAACCATGTGAGACCCTTCCTGGCTTGCAAAACCTTGAGCACATCCATGTACACCTCCTCTAGAAGCTCCCCATGCAGGAATGCATTGTGGACATCCATTTCGAAAAAAGACCAATGCTTGGCTGCTGCAGCTATAATTACTGACCTTACAGTCACCATTTTGGCTACAAGTGAGAAGGCTTCTATGTAATCAAGCCCTTCCTTTTGACTGTAATCTTTAGCCACCAACCTAGCTTTGTATCTTTCAACCTCACCTGAAGCTGTATACTTTACTTTGAACACCCATTTGCATCCAATGGGAACCTTACCAGCAGGCAACTCCACTATAGACTAGGTATGATTATCCTCTAAAGCTGAGATTTCAGCTTTCAAAGTTGCAATCCATTTGGGATCCTTGACAGCTTCAGTATAGGACTATGGCTCCACAACTGCAGAATAAGAAGATCGAGCTTTGGCATAGGAGTCAGACACATTCTTATAGCTAACATGTGCTGAAAGAGGATACGAGCAGTTAGCTTTGCCTTGAGGATTGGTGACATAATCTTTTAATCAGATAGGAGGTTTACTAGTTCTCCTAGATCTTCTAGGAGGTGAAGTTTCTACCAAATGGTTATTAGTTTTAGAGGTCTGATGAGTAGACTGATCATGAGTACATTCAGCTAATAATTCTGGCTCAACCTCAGCAGTTGCTTGAGTGGATTGGTCTAGACTATGATGAGTTGGTGTAGCAGGAGTAAAAGATGATGTAGGAGAAGGCGAGGATATAGAAAAAGGTGTAAGAGGAGATTTAGAGGTATCAATAGGCAGTGACACTTGAGCTATGTCACTTGCAGAAAACAAGGCAGGTAAAGGAGTTGGATGTTGGAAAGGGAATACATTTTCTTTGAACAGGACATCTCTACTTACTAAGAACTCCTTGGTATGGATGTTGTACATCCTGTATCCCTTTTGAGTCATAGAGTAGCCAAGGAAAAAAGCTGGTGAGGCTAGGTGAAATTTTGTCACCCCTTTTTACATCAATCACATAACCTAGGCAACAAAAATCCTCATGTGGTCCTGGGAAGGAGAGTGGCCAAATAGCAATTCAAAGGGAGTCTTTCATTGCCGCACTTATGTTGGCAGTCTGTTAATGATATAGACCGCAGTTGATAAACATTCCCCCCAGAACCTCAGTAGAACACCAGCTTGAAACCTCAGTGCCCTGGCAACATTAAGTATGTATCTATGCCTCCTCTCAGCTACTCCATTTTGCTTTGGAGTATAAACACAATAGCTCTGATGAACCATTCCTAGAGACTGCAACAATTCTTTCATCTGTGAGTTGAAAAACTCACAACCATTATATGTTCTCAGAAATTTCAAAGTGCAAGAATAGAAATTCTTAATCATAATAAAGAATGGTCTAATAACAACAATCACTTCAGCTTTAGAGGGTAACAAGAAAATCCAGGTAAACCTGGAATGATCATCCACTAGTGTGAGAAAGTACTTCTTCCCATCATAAGTAGGTATCCTATAGGGACCCCAAACATCAGCATGAGGCAAATGAAAACATGCAGTAGCAACATAAATACTAATTAAGAGGAAATGAAAGTCTTGTTTGCTTAGCAAGAGGACATACAATACATTGCTTAGTCTCACTATTACACTTTAAATGTTGAAAATAACTTAGCTTTCTCAGAACATCAATTGGCACATGATCTAACCTCCTATGCCATAGAGATACATTTGATCCATCATACTTTATTGTATTTACAAAGGATCTTCCAACATCTGACTTGTTATTTTCTCCTCCACTTGCTTGGTCTTTGTAGCCTGATATTTAGATGTAGAGACCTTCATCCTCTCTACCAATCCCCCTCACATTCCCATTGAAGAGATCCTGGAAAAGGCAGAAGTCAGGATAAAACAAAGCTAAGCACCTAAGCTCCTTTGTTAATTTTGAAACAGACAAGAGGTTATATTTGAAGTCTGGTATGTGTAACACATTGGTAATTTTCTGGCCTTGTAGCACACTTGCAGATCCTGTATGTCTTACACTTGCTATTCTTCCTATAGGCAGGTGTACTTTTCCAATACTGGATTCATCAACAGCCTTAGATTTTTCTAGAACTTTAAGACTCTTTACCATGTGATTAGAAGCACCTGTATCAACTATCCACCTAACCTCAGCTTTAGTAACTATAGAGGGTGAGATCATACCTACAGACATAGCATTACTTGGTTGATAACCTTGGCTTGTAGAGGTGACACTAGACTTGCCTAACAAATGCAATATCTGATTGTACTGATCAACAATAAACTGAGGTACTCCGGCAATTACTCCTTGACCACCCTGACTAGTTAAAGTAAGGCTACTCTGCTGAGAATGTCCTGCACAATCAGCTGCAACCTCAAAGCCTCCATTACTAGAACCAATACTAGTCCGAGCCCTTGTATATTGAGAAGCATTGTTAGGTCCAGTCTTCCTTTTTAGCTTGAAGTCTGCAGGATAGCCATGAAGCTTGTAGCAAGTATCCCTTGTGTGACCCTTGTAATTGCAATAGACACAAAACAGATTATTCTTCTTAGGCTTATAACTAGTGGAAACTTGAGGAGTTCCTTTTCCACTAAACATATCTATTCCCTCATTTACTACAGTAGTTTGAGCAAAGTTGGCCACAGATCTTCTACTCTCTTCTACTATTATCATAGAGTAGGCTTTGTTTATAGTTGGAGTAGGACTCATCATCATAATCTGTTTGCTAGATTGAGAATAAGTCTCATTCAAGCCCATAAAAAATTGCAACAGCCTGTGATTGCCAAAATGTTCTGCATATCTCTTCGACTCCTCACAGCCACAACCAGGACAAAGCATGAGTGCATCAAACTCTGCCCGAAGCTCCTTCAACTTTGAGAAATACGCTGACACTGATGAAATGCCCTGAGATAGAGTAGCAATTTGTCTGTGCAGAAATAGAATTCTAGATCCATTTACATTGCCAAAACTTTCTCTAAGATAAGCCCACACCTTCTATGCACTAGATGCATACACCATGCCACTTAGCAACTCATTACTAACTGGGTTCATGATCCATGACAAGACTATGGCATTACATTTTCCCCACAATTCATGTAAAGAAGGGGAAAATTTATCCTTAGTGTATCTACTTCCATCAACAAACCCTAACTTGCTCTTGTCAAGTAGACTGACTCGCATAGAACTACTCCATAGCGCATAATTCTCATGTCTATTTAGCTTAATTGAGATAAGAGAGCTACCTGGATTATCGCATGGTTGAAAGAACAATGGGTGATAATTATCGATGACTACAGAAGCTGTGAATCCCTCTGGAAGTCTAATGTTCAAATTAGCCGTGTCTGAACCCTTGGTGAGCTATTTTCCTCAATCGCCATAGATGGTCAAATCAAACTTAGTGAATTGATTCACTAGGAACAGAGATTCTGCTGTTCTAAGACAATTCAAACCCCAACTCGAATGAATTGACAACTGGCAGAAATGAAAGAACAATTGAGTTGTATTACTAAGAAGTGGTTCGATTGAGCTTGATAGTTGCGAGAAAGACGCAGCTTGAATCGATTACATCGGCTCTGATACCATGTTAAGAGATTGAGATCACCATAGTTGCAGAGAAGCTCAAGGAAGAAGGAAATGAATTCTACTGTTTCATTGATTTTCGGATAACCAACAAGAGGAGTACATACTCTGATATATACACAACTAACCGACTACAACTTTCTTAACTTACAGCTGTCACTACATGATTGGACAATGCTAACTAAATAATTAACTCTAACCACCTACTTAACACTATCCCAACACACTTCTTAGTGATATCACTAAAGATTTTAACAGTCATGCACTTGAAGAAAAAAATGTCGAACAAAACCAAGTAAAGCTGCTATATATATTAGTGTTACAAAATACACTTGCCATATCCTTTTCTCACTCAGCTTAGATATTTAACAAAGTTGCAGAATTAAAGATGGAAGAGCGTCGAACTAGCACTTTGAGCCCGTATAGAGTACACAGAAAACACATTAACGGTAACATGTAAGACAACCTATATAACATTGCATAATACATATTGTTTCATTGTTATCAAACATTAAAGTAGTACATACTACACAGAATCGATGGCCATAATGGTGCTTAAATTCATAGGTGTGATGTACTTGTCAGAACCAGAATAAATTGTTTTAACAATAATCTTATTCGCCTTTTCTGATGGATGGAAAGGATCCCAAAACGCATATTCTTCTCTGTTGGGGCATAGATTTGATGCAGCTGTGCATAGTCCAATTCCATTGTAAGGACCTTGTCCACAACATGCTATCTTTGATGTAACAAAACCTGTTCAATATATATGATTTATCCATATAAACTTTGTTCATTAGACAATTTAATTTGGTTAAAAGATTATCGTAATATGTTTTGATTTACATGAAGGATAACTGTTAAAAATCTTTTAACTTCTATATATTGATATTGCAAATTTGTTTTTACACTATCAAGTTACCTAAAAGATAATTACAGTTAATCATCTTTAAAATTGAAAGTTTTAACCTAAAAAATAAGCCAGATTACCTCTTAAAAAATGTTTATAATGCACTGATAGTGTAATACTTCTTTGCATTATCAATATATACAAATTAAATCCTTAAAATTTAAGGATTTAAGTTATATACACTAACAATATAATTTTTTCATACATGCAGAAAAAAAAAACATAAAGCATACCGAAGGCTTTGGGATTGTTGATGAAGTCGTTCTGCATTTCCATGGCATTAACAGCAACAAAGATATCAGAGCCAAGTTCTTGATTGAGACGTTTGATCATTTGGACAAGGAGTGGGTTGAAAGCTGCTGCGGCTTGCTGAGGTTCCTTTGCACATTCCCCATTTGAGCTCCTCGTTGCTAGCTCTGCTGGGACACAACCCAATGGTCCAGTTCCTGTCACTAGCACTCTTCGACCTCCCAGATCATGTAGTCTCTGCACATGCATAATTATTGAATGGTTCTTGTTGATTAACAATTTCTACTACATTATCAAGAGGAAAAAAAAATACCCCATTTTCCTGTTTGGCTTAGAGAACGAGTTCAAAATGACTAATGCTTTATACTTTTAGCATCTAATGGTGGATAATGGACAGTTTTTTTACACCATCAAGTTAGGTTATCCGCAATGAGTATAAGTTATATATACTGTCAAGGTAAAGGATTTTTATACTATCATGTACATAATTCAAAGGAAATCTATAGGTACACCTCTTAAGATGTGAAATTTATAATCTTGAAAATAACGTAACATAAAAAGAGACATGATATTATAAAAATTCTTTACACTGATGGTGTATATTACTTAAATTTATATGCAATAATAGCTAGGTTGTTTATAACAAACATGATGATAACATGAAAAATAAAGTAAGTAACCAGCTATAGCATATTAAATTACACTAATAGTGTAAAAGTTCTCTATATGCATATATTTTAAACTCTGATATTTTTAGGTAAAAAAATGAGGAAAGAATTCTAGTTCGTTACTCAACCTTTTACGTTACAAAAGAGAGTAAAAGACAAGATCCTTGGTAAAAAAGCTGAAATGGAAGGTAGTCAAGATTGACTTGAATTTGCTAAAACAATTAAATACTGTCAAAAGACGCCCAATAATAGGCATTTGGCACTGGTTCTTGTCTTATTAAGTAGTAATTAATTCATTACCTTCAAGATCTTGCGGTACTCAGTGACAAGGTAACGAGAGTAATCCTGAATGTTGTATTGAACACGTCTGGCAGAAACTGGTGTGAGGAAGTAGTTGTTGACATAGTCATTGCCACCAAGAGTGATGAGGATAAGCGCATTATTCACTAGCCTCCGAGTTTGTTCTGCTCCTATTAGAGCACTCACCCGCTGCTGGTATTGTTGAAACAACCCTAGTTGCCTCGGCATTCTTATTATATTCGCCTATTATATTACATTAGTAAACCCACATTAAATTTATTTTAATTAACCAAATTAAGAGCAAATATAAATTAACTAAACATGTTGTAACATTATGTTTTTCAATAATAGCTAAAGAAGGAATTCAGACACACACATGATATTTTACACAATTTTGTTTTTTTTTTTGTATCTTTTACTTGTTGCATGCATGCTAGACAACCTTTTTTTTTCTTTCCTTGTGGTGTCTCGAGACGTCTCCTGAAAATTCGTAGTGAATTCAATGGTTTGCATGATTAAAAAAAGTGTGTAAACCATATTAAAATTGGAAGCTGATAATTTGGGGGAGTGATCTGTCTCATGTTGCCTCTTCAATATCAAACTTTGAGGGGAAATATCCATCTGATTATAATATGTTAAAGTGCATCGATAGTGTAAGAACATTTTACTCTAGCTGTGTACATAAGTTAAATTTGCTTTTTAAAACGGTATAACCACTTTCCCATTTATTGATCCCAGGGCTCCCCTTAACTTATGATAGAGAGTATCAATTCTGCTATGCTCTTAATGAGTTTTCCCTCAAAAGCCAAAAAGGACTTGAAAAATAACATGCAGAATATTTGGACTTACAAACTGAATCCCAGTATCGTTAAGAATTCCGATTCCAGCAGAAGCAAAATTTGCTCCCACCAGCAACTTATCTCCTGTAAGCGCAGGGTCCAAGTACGGCAATGTTGGCTCAGCACCAAGCTGTTGGCCTATCCATTCACATTTCCATAATAAGAAAATAGTAAAAGATTTAGAGCTCCCTGGGTAAGGTGATCGTAAATAACTGATAAACTTTAAGTATTGAAAGTGAATTACGTGTTTTATCAAGTACTGAAACATATAATAAAATGTTGATGTGTTTGGTGAAACAGTGTTTTTTTTTTGTCACAATGACTAAAATATACTTAAATTTTTTAACAAAATTTATAAATCTAAAAGTATTTTTATAAAGAAAAGGAAAAAGAAGAATATGGAGTGAAGAGGAAGTTCAGGGTTTTGCTTTTCAAAAGGTATATTGAGAAAAAGAAATTAAGAATAAACAACAAAGAGTTGGTGAAACCAAAAGTGCTTATAAGCTGAAAATTTCTATGTTAGACTAATCAACTTAATTATGGATTAATTTAAATAATTTTAGCTTATAAACACTTGATTTATAAGCACTAAGTATTTATCAAACCCGTAAGTAATTTAAAATATGCTTATAAACCAGTTTGACAAAAGCTTAGCAGAACATCCTCTTGGTTACGGTCACACCAAGACAAATTAAAGAAAGAAATGAAGTCTGACACTCACTTATAAGATCAGGAATGTTCAAGCCATTGGAAAAACGACCAGTAGGACGATGAGTGGGATAATCAACGCCGTAAGGTGGAGAATCAGCTCGTGCAGAAGTTGCCAAGTAGTTATTGTTGCCATTGTCAACAAGAGAGTCACCAAACACAAAGAAAGCACGAGGAGCACCCTCAGTGTATGTTACAAAATTTGCCGTAACCATGGCTAAGAAAATTGGCACGGTGGTAGCAAAACCTAAATTAGCCATTGGGAACTACTAGTGTGTGTATGTGTGTTTGGGAAATGCTTAATGCAAATGAATGAGTACTGAGGCATTTATTTATACAGGTGGTATTGGATTTTTTTTTTCCCGTAGTTGGTTGAAGCATAATAAATAGGCAGCTTTCCAAAAGCATGAGAGTGAGTAAACTCTCGGTCTAACTGGGCAAAAGAACAAGCTTTAACAACTGCTTTTACGACTTTCTTTGGAGTAATTACTTCATGTCTCTGTACCATGCTATTGACAATTGAGCAAATAGCTAGCTGCAAGCTAGGGGTGGCAAATGGGCGGGTTAATCGGATACGGTTCAGGTTGAAAACGGGTAAATGGGTAAAATATCCGACCCGAACCATAATTAATACAGATAAAAAACAAGTTAACCGGCGGATAAAACGGTTAACCGTATTATCCGTTCATAGCTTCACATTAGCCTCAAGTCCTCAACTGTTCAGTGAACCAGTTTTCTACTCGATGATTATTATTTTTCTTTTATCGCACAACTACTCAATAGTTCTAGCTTTGTGATTTATTGATTCAAATCCAACATGAAAAAAGTGACGGGCAATATATACACTTACTACGTATTTATGAAAAAAATTATTCAGGGAATGAAGACCAAATATGTTGCCAATTTCTTGCCTTTGCATATTTACAGAGGAATATGGTCATGCTTTTGATTCAGATATTCAGTGATGCTTTTGGGGTAGAAGGGCGAAAATGCTTTTGGGGGGTTTTGACTTTATTACCCATGGATAACCAATGAGTACCCATTTAAAATATGGATAATATGGGTAATATCCGTATTTGATCCGTTTTTAAAATATTCATTATCCAACCCATATTTTAGCGGATAATATGGGTGGTTACTTATTTTGTTTTATCCATTTTGCCACCCCTACTACAACACTATATAGTTGTATAGGGTAAAAATATATTATGCTAAGTAATTGCATAAGAGAGTGACACGTGGAGCCGAAGGAAAAGAATAGCTAAAACCGAAGACAACTGTTCCATTTGTTACATGAAAGAATGACGCTCATAAAGATGCAGCAAATACCTGCCACCCAATAGCATTTAATGGGGAATACTCTACAGCATTTAGTACATTGTCTGTTAAAGAATTTATCATTTATGCTTGCCGTTACCCATTCTTCAATGGCCCTCATAATTGTGAGCTCTCTGTTATCATTGTAAGGAAACAAACTGTCTGGCAAACTGACGCTATAATCTATTCAAAGCTTTACACAATTTTATCTTCTTACGTTTTGATTTCATTACTGTTGTGCCGGAAGCTTCGCTCCCGGAATTACTGTTTCTGCTATTTCGTCTTCATCTCAAGGCTAAGTATCACATATTTCTTCAATTCTTGTATTATTTTAGGATTGAATTAATTCACTTGTCTAGAAACCACGTATAAATTCAATTGTACCGTTTTACTAGTTAACAGTTTGGTGCCCACCGTGGGCCTAGACAGTCGTGTTATTAAGTTGGTCCTTGCCTCTTTTACTAACTTATTTCGATTGTTTGTTCTTAGCAATAACCACAGAAAATGACAGATAATGGTGTTAACAACACACAATCTTGAGGCCCAAGGAGACCAGCCTCAGCACAAAGATTCAAACAGTGACACCTACAATGAGGGAAACGATACAACGCCGATCCACGGTAGGCGGTACCCGCAACATGTTCGAGAGGCGACTCCCGATGATGCTGAAAAGGAGCATATTATTGAAGCGATAAGGGCCATGCAGGAGCAACAAGAGGTCATTCTGGGACATCTCACACGGTAGGACAAGGTTATGACAGAAATAAAGCAGGCATTATCGGGTGCTTCCAATAACGCAAATGGACGAGATCCAGTTCCTTCCGTCGCTCCCGCAAATCAAACAACACAAAGGATCGACAACAACACCCCAAGGGGCAAGGTCGGCTCCGATGGGGCTGGGGGGGTCGGCTCCGATGGGGCTGGGGGGAACGGTTCCGGTCACAACAACAAAAGCTATCCCTTCAAAAGCAAGCTCTTACGGTTTATGAGTGAAGTAAATGCCCGCATGGACCAATCCCGGGTATACCGCCGGTGCTGAAAGAGCCGAATTCAAATAAGCATACTCAGCTGTCGTATAAACCAAGCGTGACACCAGAATTGATCCCAAAGCTGTTTAAAATGCCCGATGTGATATTATAGGACTTCGGACCCTCAGGAGCATATTACCACCTATACAACGGTGATGAAGGGGAACAATTTAGCTCCCCACGAAATTGAATCTGTTTTACCGAAGAAATTCGGAGAGACTCTCACGAGGGGAGCCTTGACGTGGTATACACTGTTACCCGAGCATTCCATAGATTCCTTTGAGATGCTCGCGGATTCTTTTATTAAGGCCCATGCTGGGGCCAGAAAGGTGCAGGTACATTCAAATTTCCAAAAATTCTTAAAATTTTAGTTAAACCATTTTCCTTCAAAAATTTATTTCTTGGGCTTGGGACCTCGAAATTCGATTCCGGGCATACGCCCAAGTCCCATATTTTCCTACGGACCCTCTGGGACCGTTAAATTAGGGCCCGGGTCCGTTTACCCAAAATATTGACCGAAGTCAACATAAATTCATTTTAAAAGCAAAATTTATCATTTTCCCCAGATTTTCACATAATAGCTTTCCGGATACACGCCCGAACTGCGCACGCAAATCGAGGTGTGATAAAATGAGGTTTTAAAGCCTCGGAACATAGAATTTACTTTCAAACAAGTGATGGCCTTTTGGGTCATCACATTCTCCACCTCTAAAACAACCGTTCGTCCTCGAACGGACATAAGAAGGAAGTACCTGAGTCAGAGAAAAGATGGGGATATCAGCTCCGCATATCGGACTCGGACTCCCAGGTCGCTGCCTCAACAGGCTGACCTCTCCACTGAACACGAACATAAACTCCTCACTGGATTCAACCTCGCAAGTGTGACAACCCGAGGAGAGATCCCGTTGCCCACGAATGTCGAAGGGATGATGAAGACGACCATTTTCGAAGTTGTGGACGGTGACATGGGTTTTAACATTATTCACGAAAGACCGTGGTTGCACGAGATGAGAGCCGTACCATCAACATATCATCCGTTTTTGAAATTCGCAACTTCCGAAGGGATTAAACAAATAAAAGGCGACCAACCGGCGGCAAGGGAGATCAATGCGTTTTTGGTCTCTAGTAGCAAATCCACAGCGGAAGAGCTCGAGCAAGTGACATTGTTTGAAAAGGTATTGGAGAGGAAATTCCACTTGGGGACAGGACTACACCTCGAGCTTAGGTCTGGCTTTATTGAATTTCTTAAACAAATAAAAGGCGACCAACCGGCGGCAAGGGGGGTGAATTTGTTTTCGGTCTCTAGTAGCAAAGGGAAGGAGCATACGACATAGCAATTACAGGAACCGGCACCTGCTCCGGAATCAAGTGAAGTTAACCAGGGGGAAGAAGCGTCAGAATCTTATCAGGTGCCAAGATACTTCCAGATACCATAAGAGACGGATGCAACAAAATCCACAGCGGAAGAGCTCGAGCAAGTGACATTGTTTGAAATGGTCTTGGTGAGGAAATCCCACTTGGGGACAGGACTGCACCTCGAGCTCAGGTCTGGCTTTATTGAATTTCTTAAGTATAATGCCGATAGTTTTGTGTGGTCGCATGCGAATATGAAAGGTATCCCAACGGAAGTGGCCGTACACAAGCTAAGATTGGATCCTAACATACCTCCGGTAAGATAAAAGAAATGTCCTATTGCGGAGGCCAGGAATAAATTCGTCAAAGAATAAGTAACACGCCTACTTGATATTAGTTCGATCCGAGAGGTAAAGTATCCAGACTGACCAGCTAATGTAGTGGTAGTTCCTAAGAACAATAAATTTTGCATGTGCGTATATTATAAGGACTTGAATAAGGCGAAAAAACTCGTTCCCACCGCCAAACAACGATCAAATGATTGATGCAACGGTCGGGCACGAGTTAATGAGTTTTCTCGATGCTTATTCAGGGTACAACCAAATTAAGATGAACCCGGAAGATCAGGAAAAGACTTTGTTCTTAGCGAATTTCGGCACATATTGCTATAATATGATGCCCTTCAGGCTAAAAAATGCCGGAGCCATTTATCAACAGCTCGTAAACAAGATGTTCGAAAACGATATGCTTGTTAAGTCTTCGAACACAGGTGATCATCTTAAGCATTTGCAAGGAACTTTTGGCATCCTAAGGAAACATAACATGAAGCTTAACCCCGAGAAGTGCGCGTTCAGGGTCAGCTCCGGCAAGTTCCTAGGATTCCTGGTAGCACAAAGGGGGATAGAGGTAAACCCTAATAAGATCAAAGCCATCGAAGACATCCCAGACCAGCTATCAAGCATGAAAGAAGTTCAAAGGCTCACGGGGAGATTGGCCGCTTTGAGCAGGTTTATTTCCCACTCATCAAGGAAATGCCACTTTTTCTTTGCGCAGCTAAAAAAGAAAAACAACTTCGAATGGACCCCGGAATGCCAACAGACTTTGAGGAATTTGAAAAGGTACTTGTCGAGCCCTCCGGTACTATCAAAACCAAAGGAAGGTGAAACACTGTTAATTTACCTAGCAATCTCGGAGGTAGCAGTAAGCGCCATTTAGTCCGTAAGGACGAAAGTATGCAATCTCCTATTTATTACGTTAGTAGAATTTTAACGGGAGAAAAAACTCGCTACCCCCATTTGGAGAAGCTGGCCTTAGCTCTCGTAGTCGCCGCTCGAAAGCTGAGGCCTTACTTCCAATGACACCCGATAGCTGTGGTGACTACCTTTCCCCTGCGAAACATCCTTCACAAACCCAAACTCTCGTGCAGATTGGCCACATGGGCAGTCGAAATGAGTGAACTCAACATAGAGTATAAGCCTAGGAATGCGATTAAGTCACAAGTTGTGGTCGACTTTGTGGCCGGTTTCAGTCCAGGATTGCTGCCCCTAGCAACCAATGAAGCAGTGATGGTGTCAGAATCAACATCGGGGGTTTGGACCTTGTTTAT